TATTTGAAATCAGTCTGTTGTTCCATGTCCAGTTCTAACTGTTGCTTCCTGACATGCATACAGATTTCTCAAGAGGCATGTCAGGTGGTCTGGTATTCTTATCTCTTTAAGAATTTTCCAGAGTTTGTTGTGATCCACACAGTCAAAGGATTTAGTATAGTCAATGAAACAGAAGTAGATGTTCTTCTGGAATTATCTTGTTTTTTCTATGATCCAACAGATGTTGGCAATTTGACCTCTGATTCCTATGTCTTTTCTAAACCCAGCTTGAACATCCGGAAGTTCTCAGTTCATGTACTGTCGAAGCCTCACTTGGAGAAATTTGAGCATTACTTTGCCAGCATGTGAGATGAGTGCAATTGTATGGTAGTCTGAAAATTTTTTGGCATTACCTTTTTCTGGGATTGGAATGAAAACTGACTTTTTCCAGTCCTGTGGACACTGCTGAGTTTTCCAAATTTGCTGGCAGACTGAGTGCAATACTTTCACAGAATCATCTTTTAGGATTTGAAATAGCTCAGCTGGAATTCCATCACCTCCACTAGCTTTATTTGTGGTGATGCTTCCTAAGGCCCACTTGACTTCGCACTCCAGGATGGCTGGCTCTAGGTGAGCGATCACACCACCATGGTTAAGTTAGTTAGTCAGTTCTTTAGTTAGTTCTCTAGGGAACTAGATGCCACATGCTGCAACGAAGGATTCCACATGCCACAACAAAGACTGAAGATCCTGCGTGCTGGAACTAAGATCCAGCACAGCCAAAAACAAAACAAAAAAACTTCTGTCCAGCTAGCATAACCAGTGCCACAAGAATTGAGATATATCATGAATTCCAGCTGGGCCAAGGGGTAGTCAAGTAATGATACATTTCCATTAATATCGATAATAAATAGGTTTGGGCAACACATAGACTGATACTTCTCTGCTCCTCCCATGTGATATTTACACATAATACAAATGGATCTGAATTCATTTTATTTTGGTTTCTTTGGGATATTTATTTTTATTTATTTTTTTAAAAAATATATATTTATTTGGTGGTGCTGGGTCTTCATTGTGGCATGCATGATCTTTAGTTGCAACATGTGAGATATAGTTCTCTGACCAGGGATCAAACCTGGACCCCCTGTGTTGGGAGTGCTGAGTCTTAGCCACTGGACCACCAGGAAGGTCCCAGGATGTTTATTTTTTAATAAACTACTTCTTCACGATGTGCAAAAAACCACAGTCTGAATTGCCACAATACTGACCCCACCTCTTTTAAAGCTTTCAGGACAGGACAGCATGTTTCTATGTCCTGATTTGACACATTTTTGTATAAGTGTCAAGTGAATTTATGAAAAGTCAATCTGATTTTACCTACACTTTTTCTTCTGAAATGTGGGAAACAGATGTATTAGCAGGGAAAGTGTCCCATAGTAGATGAGCTAAGTGATTTTGAAAAGGAAGAGGCCCAGATGATGGCTGTCCTCCTGGCCTTTAGTACCTGTACTTCCTATGTCAGCAGCCCTGTGCCCACAGTGAGTATTTTCAGTGCTTTGCCAACTCCACGGCCCCCTCTCCACTATATTGGTCACCTCCCCTGCTGTCTGGACAATAAGCATCTTCACCCCTACTCAGGGATATGAAGGCTCTGGTCTTACAGAAGCAGCTTGGACAAGCAGAAGTATCTCTTAGGCTGGAGGCTTTGGATTCCAAGAAATTAATTCATTGCCTACATTATCAGTTCTGTGAGTCCAAACGTCTACAAGTGAGTTTGCTTGGAATAAACCACTTAGATTGGAGTAAAGCGAGAGAAGGGAGATGACTGGTACATGTGGCCGGGGGAAGTGGAGCATAAAAGAGGGAATCTGAGTGAATGCACAAGAAAATATTTGCCTTAATACCACCTTGCTTCTGTAGAGCACTTTACTGCTATAAAGCATTTCAATGCATTTGAACTTATTTTTCAAAATCTGTGTCTCAGGCAGAACTGGCTGACAGCTGAGAAGATTGGAAGGAGTCCAGGTAACAGTGATAAGACCTGGGCTAGAACAGATGTGTCCCTAAATGGCCATTTAAGTCTGGGAAGACTCTTGGCTTCTCTGAGACTCAGTTTCCCTACTGATTGAGCACAAACTAAATTAGAATGAGGGCTTGAATTATCTGATTTTTATGAGTCCTTTCAACTCTGAATGCTGATGATGCCATTTGGTGTAACAATGTGTTTTTGCACAGCTGATTACAATAGGAATTTTGTGATGCCAAGAAGTTAGACATAACCTTGTAGAAGAAAAAGTGCTGGCTTAGAGCTACTTACACATCTGCAGCTTACTCACCAGCTATGTGACTTTGACAAAGTGAGTAAACTTCTCTGGGCCTCAGTTTCCTAAACAGAAAATAAGGACACTGAGACTTGCCTTGTAGGGTGACTGCACATGTTAAATGAGATAGTGAATCTGAACGTACTTCCAAACTCTAATGACCTATAAAAATGTGATAATGTATTACTGTTATCACTATTACCAGCACACACACAAAAATCCATTAGCTCTCTAAGAATTACCTGACAAGGAAAAACAAATGAATTAAGCAGCCGTTAATATTCACCCAGCATAAATCTTAATCAGAGAGGAAAGGCCATTTACAAACCAGGGGGAAAAAAATTTTGGCTCCTTCCCTCCTCTCTGACATCCATGGAACAGACTTCCATGCACCCCTCATCCCTCTGTAAGCCTCATACAGAAGGCTTAGGACATTAACAATGAGGATTCTCTCCACGGCAAGGGCAAAGAAAGTAATCTCCTTATACAGATCTTTCAAAGATCAACAAAAGTCAACATTTATATTAAAAATAATTATACCATCATACTTAAAAAGGAAACACCCATTCTTCCGAACTTTGTAATATGTTGATTAGAGCACAACATCAGCTGGCAATGAGAAGTCCTGGACTGTCCTTTGGAAACATCTGATCATGTTCTGAGATGCTGAAGATCCAATACTTTGGCCACCTGATGTGAAGAACTGACTCCTTAGAAAAGACTCTGATGGTGGGAAAGATTGAAGGCAGGAGAAAGGGATGACAGGGGATGAGATGGTTGGATAGCATCACCAACACAATGGACGTGAGTTTGAGCAAGCTACGGGAGTTGGTGATAGACAGGGAAGCCTGGTGTGCTGTAGTCCATGTGGTCACAAAGAACCGAACATGCCTGAGCAACTGAACTGAACAGAACTGAATAAAAGAGCTGACTCTTCTCTGCCATCCCCATGTACACAGCCTCTCTCCTATGTTTGGGGCTAAGTGTTCAGGGTTATGCATGCTGACCTATATGATAGAAGTCTCTACTCCAAGGTGATTTTTCACTCCCTTTCTTGGAATTACTATGTATTATATTGCTATATACAAGGTTGGAAAGAAGCTCATCGAAAAAGGGATACAATTTTTTTTTTCCAGGATGACCAAGTAACAGAGGGCCTTCAACTTTGGGCAATATTCAGAAAGGCTATTGGTTTTCTTTGTTCTCTGATGTTTTTGAGTCTTTCTGGGTTTTAAGTACTGGGTATCTTAGGCCATAGGTTTTAGCAGGAAAGTTTTTACATACAAACTAAATAATTTTTTAAAATTGAAGTATAGTTGATTTATAATGTAGTATTAATTTCAGATGTACAGTAAAGGGATTGCTATACATGTATATTATTTTACAGATTCTTTTCCATTATAGGCTATTATCAGATATTGACTATAACTTCCCATGCTATATGGTAGATCTTTATTGTTTATTTTATGTATTAAATCAACTTTTTAAAATAAGCTTTTAATTAATAGAATGTCAAAGAAACCACAACTTGCCTGCACTGTATTTAAGGGGAAAAATAAATTTACTTTTAACATTTTTAATTCTTCATAGTAATTTTGGTTTTTAAAAAAATCTTGAAAATAAAAGCAAAGATAGCAAGTAAACACTTTAAGACTAAGACACTACCATACCCATCCTTCATAATTTCCATAAGGAGGAGCATAATAGATGCTTGATCAATGTTTGTCAAATTAAATTATTTTAAAAGTTTCATAAAGAAGATATACACTAAATCAGAATAAGAGTTTACAAAGCATTATTATAAAAGCTCCATTTGAAAATAAAATCAATAATGGTGTTAAGAGAAAGTGAAACCCACTTCTAATGAACTTGATGAAATACAAGTTCTATGCCTCATGGAAATCTGGAGCTAGAATTAACTCTTGATTCATGCCTATTCCTACTTCAACCTGGCTGATCATCAGAGATATATAAGCCACAGTTTTGCATTTCAATTAGTTAAACTCAATGCATTCTTTTAAATTCTAAAAGTATCTTCACAGAGTAAAAACAAACAAGCAAAAATACACATTCACACACACACACATATATATGAAATTGTTTCAACCAAAAGACTTGGGGATAACTGCTAGAAGTAAATGAATATCTTGTCATGATCAATAAATTTAGGGATAACTATGGAGATAAATATCTACTTTATCAATCTATCATTGCTTGCCACAATCCTTTCTTTCCTTAAATGAATCATGTCTAACGCAGGACTGATAAGGAGTAATTGATTTAATCCTCTGAGTAACATGTATCTTCTGTATCATTATATACAGTTTGGGCTCAATATATTTACTGCATCCTTTATTGAGTAACATGGAAATGGGTGCTGAGTTGGCAGTTCAATAATAAATAGCCCTCATGTTATCTGAGTTGCTCTTTTGCATTGACAAAAATGGCGATAAATTGGCTTGTAATTGAGACAAAGAAGGAAGACGATTACTCCTGATGCTGAGATGCATTTATCCCCTGACCCAGCCCTTGCTGAGCACGCATGCTCCTCCATCAGCCTGCTGGACCAGCCCTGAAACAGAGAGCAGCCCAGGGAACTGGTCTCTCTGGCACACGCCTCAGTACCCCCGTGGCCAGCAGCTGACCACGGGAGCAGCTTCCATGAGGTAGGGGCGGGGGTGGAAGGAACCACTTTACCTTCCTGCACACAGACGGGTTTGTCACTCGGGATCCAGCCTAGGGTTCCGTTTACATGCTTCATACACAGTCTCTTTGTAGAGCCCTTCAGTTTGAATCCGTCTTGGCAGTGAAAACGGGTGACAGAGCTTTCAAAGAAAACCCCTCCGCTGGGCGTCCTGAAGCCATTCTCGGGGACACCGGGGTCCGCGCACACCTGAAGGTCATCGAACCCTACATGCACAGAGAGAAGAAAAGATTCCTCTGAATACACTCTCTGGATTCCAAGGGTCTTCTAGGATAAAGAGCAGATACTGTCATCTTTCCAATGCTGTGGGTCACCAAACTCCACCAACAGAAAAGCCAAGAACATAAATAAACATTCTAGCGCACATTACAGACTGCTTTTTGCTCTTTGCTTAGAAAAGCGCTCATCAGTGATTTCAGTTCCACCATCAAGTTAGCCCTTCAAGAAAATTCTAGAAGTAGGGAGATGAGGAAAAGTAAATCACAAAAAGCACTCAAAGTGGTAAAAGTCACAACCTAAGTATAAAATGCAGAAAGGAGCTGAGGAGGTAGAGGTAGTCAGGGAAGGGGGAGATGGAATCTGAGCCCAGCATTGAAGAACTGGTGAGACTTCAAGGATGGACCCACCTTCGTGGAGCGGGGCACAGGGGAACGGCATGCGTGACGGCCCAGCTGGGAGACCTCTGCAGGTGACACCTGCAGGGCAGCAGGTGGCTGACAGTGATACAGGGCATGCAGAAGAGGCAGGCTGGGGATGCCCACCCTCCTTTGCCTGCTGCCCTCACCCCCACCCACCAGTTCTGGACCACGTTCCTCATCCTCTGGGAGGCCTTCCTTATCCCCACTCCCCCCCACCTACTCCCTCTTTGTTCCACTCCTGTAACATGAACACAGCCTTGTGCTGAATTATTTGGAGAACAATCACCTCTCACTCTGGGTTATGAGCTCCCAAGGACAAGTTCCAAGATTTTTCACTGTTGTATCCCACGGGATCTATCACAGTCCTGCGTAGAACCTGCTCCATAAATGTTGGATGAGTGAGTAAACGGAGTTGGGAAAGAGAGTGGGAGACACACTGGGGTGACCCAAGAAAGCCAGGCTGAGAGAGCAGGCCAGTGTGGAGCCATGGAGCCGGGCAGCGGGTACCAGGAGGCCCAAAGGATGGATGCTGGAGGGAGTAAGTGCAGGAGAGAGCTCAGAGCAGGGCTGGGAGGCCCAGACGCGATGGGCCTGAGTGCACAGGAGAGTGCTAGAGGCAGCAAGGGGGGCACCAGAGTTCAAGACATCCCGGTTCAGGGGCCCGATGTGGGGGGAGGGAGACAGGCTGACAGCTGGGACCAAGGTCGATCCTTGAAACAAACATGGATGACATGAGCTCGCTGGCAGAGACCAAGGATAAGGAAGGGGCGCTCCGTGTGCCCACCACTCAAAGGGAAGGAATGAAGGAGGCACAGAGAACCCTAAAACTCCTGTGCACCACGAAGGCCTTCTACACTTCACTCTCTTACAAAATCCTTACTGCATAAGTTCCCAGAACAAATATGCGTAACTCCATCGGGACTGGGGTTGGTGTGCCCATCCATCCCCCGCCCCAGGGCAGCTGATGGTCCCCCAGGTGGGAGAGGGTGAGCAACAGCCTGGGCCACCTTAGAAAACCCAGCCCAGACCCAGGCAGCATCACTGGAGCCCTTGGAGCTCCTGTTTTCAAGGTGATGCCCAGATGCCAGCCCCAGGAGACATCTGATCCTCTGCGACAGCTGGACTTGCAAAATGCCCTCAGCTGGTCGGTGATTTCCCCCATCCCAACTTTCACGAGCTCATGAAGGACTCACCTGCGGTCCTCCCCAACCGACCTTGTGACCCCGGACACCCTGCCAGCGCCACTGGGTTGAAAGCCACACGGTACAGAAGGGGCCACGGTGACAGGGTGTCCAGAAGCCATGACATGTTCCCTCTGCAGTCAGCACAAGGCTGTGGACCAAGTGGGTCCAAGGAGGAAGGCAGGGAAGGCGACAGCAGCCACATCTGACTCTACTACATCTTTTCAGGGGGAGCAAGTCTGATATTTTATTGAACAGAAGGTGCTTTGACAAAGGAGACTCCACCTAGCCTCAGCACCACTCACACACAGCCGCAGCTCTGCCCCGCTGTGAGCACTCTGACAGCACATGTGCGGTGTGCTCCAGGCCTGCGGAGGGTGACGATTAATACCCATCTGGGGGAGGGCAATAAAGTACCAGCAGGTTGCTAAGGGGTGGCTTCATGTTTTTATTTCAAAGGAAAAGTAGATTATCAAGTGTTTCCTAAGTGACGAAGGTTTCCTTCCAAGTCAGGCCATCACAGGGTGGGTTCTTTAAACATACGTCCACCATGGTATTGAGGTGGCAGCTAGCAGCACTGGAATTCCACCCAAGCCTAGAAAGCCCAGAAGCAGAAACATTCAGAAACCTCAGTGGTCTGGACACTTTCTGGCAGGCTGTGGGTGAAAGTCATTCTGACTCACATGCTGTAAGTCCAAGAGAAGCTGCATCAGACGGTGGGCGGCCACGGACGGGTAAGCTGAGGGTAAGGGGGGGACAGGCCTCCAGAAGACCTGGAGCTGAAATCTCACAGCTGAGCAGACACCAGCCAGCCAGAGGGAGGAAGGGCGCTCACGGGGAGGTCAGTGGCCGCTGAGCGCATTTCAGGGAAGAGGTGGTTCTGCCGGGCTGGGGGCAGGGTGACCGACTGCACAGGTGGAGCCCTGTGCGGGGTGCAGGGAGGGTAAGAGACGCTGGCTGCAGATCATGAAGGGCCGTGTGTCTCAGCTAAGGGTTTGGACTTGATGAGGGGGTGAGGGATGGGGTTGTGGCTAATACTGAGAGCTTAGAACAGTGACATTATCGGAATCAGATCTGCAGTTTTGAATGATCCTTCTTGTACCCACATGGAGGACTGCCTGATACAGAACAAGCTAGAGGCAGGAAGCTCATCAGAAGCGCCTCCCAGGCCTCCAGCTACACCTCAGGAGCAAGAAGGCAGCTTTGTAAAAGGACATCCACTGACCCAGGCTGTCTGGCTGGGGTGGGCCAGGAAGTCTTGAGTTTTAGAAAGCTGTCCCAGCGATTGTGAGACAGCCAGCCCCACACCTGCCTGAGGACTAGCAACTAAGAACTCTGGGATTTCAGGGCTTGCGCTGTAACCGGGTGGGAAACCAGGAGTTGGAACCAAGGTGGAAGCGATGGAAGAGCAAGGCCAATGGGCTACAATAAGGACACAGAATCACAGAACCTGTGACCACTGGATGGAGGACGGGGTCAGGGGAATGAAGTAAAAGAGAGGCATCTAGGAAAACTCCCAGGTTCTGATGATGGTGGGGCCCTGTATGCGGACTGGAGCGTGGGGAGTTTGAGCTCTCAAGGGTAGTGGGGTGGGGTGGGGGGCACCCAGGCAGACATGTCTGGTGATGAGCTGGAGGCTGAGTCTGAAGCTCCATGGTGCCCTGGGTTGGACATCTGGGCGTGGGCAGGCGCACTGCTCTGGGAACAAACACAGTGTGAAAAGAGGCGCAGCCCAGGTACCCACAAAGGACCCTGGGAATCCAGCACCATGGAGAAGGAAGACCTGACTGTGTTATGGAAGCTAGGGAAGGGAAGGAAGGAATGGGCAGCAGGGTCAACCACTACCCACAGACCTGCTTTCTGAGTCTGAGAAGCATCCACTGGCTGGAGACCGGGACACTGGGACCACAGCCCAGGCGGCTTCAAGGACAGGGAGAACTGTCCTGGGGGAGGCTGCCTGCCTGTTGATGTTTGAATGGGGTGGGGTGGGTGACAGTACAGGCTTCTCTTTCCAGATGCTTGGTGTGAACAAAAGAGCATAGGGTGGGAGTTATTCCTGGATTAGGGCCAAGAGAGGGGTTTATTGTTTTATTGTAATAAAATTTGAAGATGAAAGAGATTCCAATATGTCTCTACACAGCAGGGAGAAAGAAAAAAAGGCTGTGGGTTGGGGAGGGGAGTAAAGGGAAGGCAGGTGGGGTAAGTTCTCCCCACCTGAATGTGGGTGGGGAGGGAACCTGAACTGCTGAGGCAGGAAGGAGAGTTTTGCCAGAACCTCCAATGAGGGAGGCACGTACCCCATAATGTGCTCATCCTCCAGGACTTAATAGCGTCTCCCCCTGGGAGCCTTCCTTCTTCCTTCAGAGTTTGAATAGCAGGCCTCTGTTCCCATCTAGGCACCCAGGCTGTCCTCGCTTGGAGTACTGAGCTGTCTCTCCCACTGGGCTGTGAACTCCTAGAAGGGGTAGATGGGATCTTAATCTTCACCTCCTCCTATAGTGAGTGTGGGCATTTCACAAGTGCTGCTAGTGAAAGACGGGTGGTTGGATGGATGGATAGACAAATAGATGGAGAGGATAGGTGGGTGGGTGGAGAGGGGGATAGGTGGGTGGATGAATAGAAGACAGGTGGGTGGTGGGACCTCCCTAGCAGTCCAGTGGTTAGGACTCCATGCTTCCACTGCAGGGGGCATGGGTTTGACCCCTGGTTGAGGAATTAGCAGGGCCAAAGAAAAAACATAGGTGAGTAGATGGATAGAAGATAGGTGAGTGGGTGGATGGATACATGGACAGAAGGTGAATGGATGGAGAATGAGTAGGTAGATGGATGGGTGGATGGATGGATACATGGAGAGAAGATGAATGGATGGAAGGTGGGTGGGTAGGTGGGTGGAGGGAGTCAAACGCTCTGCTGGACTCAGGCAAAGGTCCCTACCCCATCTCAGCAAAGTCACACCAATCGCTTGATAGTCCCAGAGGTTTTTGTATTCAACAGACAAGGCAGGTATGAAAGTTGTCCTCCAGCACAGACACACTCCCAAACCCTCTCACCTTCCTCTCTCCTCCCAGCCTGAGAAGACTGCATTCCTTATATTTTCATAACCTTCTTCCAGTCCAGATCCTCGAACACCTCAGCCATCCTCCTCCGTCTCCACTGTAAAGTCTAAGGTACACTAAGGCTTTGATGGAGACATCTGTGCCTCCCCCACCCAGCACACACACACACACACACTTCTTGGCCAATCACCCCTCGCTCATAAATGAGCCACGCCGCCTGCTGAGTCCTGGGCACAGACGCCTAAGCTTCTCACACCGCCCTGCCCTGGGCCACAAAGCTATTCTCTCTCAAAGAAGGGCAGATCATTCAAGAGACAGCTGAAGATGCAAT